GGACCGTATTTTGGGATGTTTCAATTTTGTATCAGAGCCTTGGTTTGAGTGAGAAAACCCTAATTTTCAAGGTTAGTGTCCTATTTAAAGGACCTTAATCCCTCATTTCCACCACCCTTGTCACCTTATAGCTCTGTGAGAAACCCTAGACCAGTTCCACTCGTTGTGTGTGTAAGAGAGAGAGAGAGAGAGAGAGAGAGAGAAGAGAGAGAGAGAGAGAGAGAGAGAGAGATTAATTTGAGTGTTCTTGGGCATTTTTGGAAGAAGATTTGGAGAGCAACACGGATTGGATCGAGGAGGGACTTTTGGAGCCAGTGTTCATCAATGATTAGCTTCTGTTTTGAGGTCAAAAGCTATCATTTTGACCATTTCTCTTGTTACATCTCATTCTAGGGAGTTTTAGGGTTTTCTCCCATCCATCTTTTGGTTATTGAGTCACTTGACCATGTCATGAGATTGAAACCTCAGATTTGGATTGTAAGAGGTCCTTTGAGCCGAAAAATCCATGCTTTATTAAACTAGAGGCAAGCCTTTATGCATCTAACCCTATATAGAGCTTATGTTGGCATTTCGAGCCCTAGATGTCATGCATGGACGTAAAGCTTGCAGCTTTACGTGGTATTTCAGCCTTGGGAGGCTAGATCTATAATTTGAGACCTTACTTCTGCTGAGAATCGTCTGAATGAGAAGTTAGCTAGGGAGAATTAGTGAGTGCATGAGCCAACTCAACGAGTCAGCTAGAGTTTTTCCCCGATGGACTGTACGCACTACAACTGGGCGAGTTGATGAGATAACTCGAAGAGTTGAGTTGGATTTTCCCAATTTTTAGAGAAAATGAAGGAACTCGATGAGTTTAGTCAACATAGACTATTGACTTTTTTTGACTTTTAGGGTTTGGTCAACTGTGGACCTTAGAGACCATGAAGGGGTAAAATGGTCTTTTCAACCTTTAAGATTTAGTGGAGGAGTTAGCTTAGCGTAACAAGTGGTTATTACAATTTGCTTATTAGAGATAATTATATTATGTAGGCAGAGTTTAGACTGTTCTTGGGGTGCTAGATCTACTCGTTTACTTTCGAGGTGAGTCTTCTCAATATACTACCTGAGTGGTAATACTGAGTGACCATGTAACATCCAGAATTTACCAAGTATTAATGTTATTATTATCTTAATTGAATAACTTGTTGTTTTGGTTTGGGCCAAGGTAGTTGGGCTTCAAGTATTGGGTTGAGAAGGGCATTATGTGGGGCGTACCATGCTAGGTATGCTCAGCATACTCAAGCGTATTGGGCGGGGAGGCCATGCACGTACGCCCAGCGTACCAAAGGGTACATGCAGCATACGCGCGCATGTCCTAAACCCTAAATTTTAGGGTTTGATCCCTGTTTAAAGGACCTTATGTCCTTGGACCAGCCTCCCTATCACCCTTAAGTAGCCACCTCGAAAACCCTAACCCAATTTTGTGTATCTTTGCCATTTGAGAGTTTCTTTGTGTGATGTTGGTGTTTTAGAAGAAAAGGAGGTTGAAGAAGGAGCAAGGATTCAAAAGGAGCTTGTAGATCTAGAAGATTAGGACCATTTCTAACTTATTTGAGGTATCAAGCTTCAAACTTGATCATTACATGTTTAGATTTGATGTTTGGGTGTTTTATGACACTTTTGGACTCCATTATTGCGGCTTCTGGTATCTTGATGATTTCAGACCATAAGAGTTATCCTTTTGGGCTCTTAGAGGCACTAAGAGTCATAAAAATCGGACCTTGATGGTTAAGCCACAACCATGAAAGTGTTCGATAGTCATAAAGCTTATTAAAGGACCAAAATCATGTTTTGACCCCTAACCATGCATGCAAGCACATAAATTTAGTTACTTTATGGATTAGGAAGTCTTAAAGGACATGGATCTACATTTTGGATGTAAGGACTTAACGGATTAAGTCACAAATGAAGTCCCAAGAAAGCTGGCCAATACGCTAAGAATAGACCCTGGTACGCTGCGCATACGAGGTTAACTTCCCGTTTGCGGTCAAGGCCAGCGTACGTTGGTCATACGAGCCAAGTACGCCACACCTACGCATGTAGAGTGGCTACATTGGGTTTTTGGGGCTTAGGGGACTGGGCCTAGACTATTGGGCCTCGTAGCCCACTGTGGAGTATAGTTTTGGACCTGGGAATCTTAAACTAGAGCATTGAGCCTATTGGGCCATGTTGGGTCTTTCGAAATTATTATTGGGCTAAGAACTTTTGGACTTGTAATGGGACCATTTGGGAATACGGCCCAATTCAAAAAATTGGGCCATTAGTGGTCCCTTAAGGAGCCTTTGATAGGCCATAGGTCGGTTGGGTTTAATAAGTTAAAATTGGGCCTTATGAATGGTTAAAATTGGGCCAAGGGGTTAAAATGGTCATTTTACCCTAAGTAATGTTATAGATTATGATTGAGTGTTATTGTGATTATAATAACCGGTTGGGATAAACCGGAGGGCAGGTCGGCACCCCAAAATTGCCAAACAGGGAAGGTCGACACCCCAGAATTACCAGACATAGTAGGTCGGGCACCCCAGAATTGCTCGATAGCATGTATGTTTTGTGGTATGGTGGGGAACTCACTAAGCTCCGTGCTTACAGTTTTCAGTTTTGTTTCAGGTGCCTCTTCAGCGAAGGGGAAGGAGCTGGCGCGGTAGCGGCACATCACACACACATATGATTTTTTGCATTATAATGTTCTTGGGATTGTACTCTGACGATGTTACTACTTGTATGTTATGGTTTTGAGACACGTGGTTATGTTTTGTGAAAGGATGATAATCGGTGATGTTTTATTACAAATGCTTATATAACCGCTTTATTAAAATGAAATTTTTTGGTCTCGAAATTTGGGACGTTACAGACCAGAGGGTCTTATTTAAGTTATCGACCGGAGGGTCCTATGTGCTTATATTGAGTTATGTGATATTATGTATTTTGTCTTTGTGATATATGCTATATTATTCTGTGTTTTACTGAGATAAGAGCTGAGGGTCTAAACCGAGTTGTGAGTACCGGAGGGTCTTCACCGAGATACATGACTAGAGGGTCCAAACCGAGCTGTGAGACCAGAGGGTCCTCACTGAGACACATGACCGGAGGGCCCACACCTAGCCGTAAGACTGAAGGGTTCTCACCGAGACGCATGAGACCGGAGGGTCCATGCCGAGTTCTAGCCTTGAGAGGCTTATTATTTGTGTATGTGGTATTTTGGGGAAGTCACTAAGCTTCATGCTTACCGTGTTATGTGTTATGTGTTTCATGTACTTCTCAAGATTGCGGGAAGGCACCGCCTTGTATCTACACATCTGTTCAGGACTATGTTTGAGGATTCTGGGATACTATCATTTATTCTGTGGATTTGTTTTTGACATTTGAAACAATTGTGGTTTTTTAGAAATATGACATGAGTTTTATGTGTTTTAAAAATGAAAATTTTGGTTGAAATTTTAGAGTGTTACAAGTTGGTATTAGAGCCAAGATTTTAGGGATTCGAGTGTACTCTCGGGTATGTCTGGACTCAAACTAAGGATTTGAGAAATTTTTATAAAAGGAGGTGATTTTTCTAAAACGAGTAATAGTTTTGAAGAGAAAACTAGATGGAGCAGTGTGTACAATTAGCCAGAGCTCGAACGGTGATTTCCCAAAATACCATTATTCCTTTATAATATGAGATATTTATGAGATATTAGAGTTGCATGCTAGTGAATAGGCTAGGTACTTCATAAATTAGGCTAGAGTTTCATGATTCATGATGCCTTAGCCTAGGGTATGTTGTTTATTGATCTTATCTAGCATTTACTCTATGTGTGTATTGAGTAGGGAGAAACATAGCAGTAACCTTTAGAGAGAATTTTGAGTAATCCAGGAGAGATACCTAGACGAGCATTGAGGAATCTACCGAGAGAGTAGTTGAGATCCATGAGGGATAGAGTGCGGTGAATTAGGATCCTAGGAGGAGGACTTGGGACGACTACAGGTTGGTGTGGAATGTAGTATTGGACCCGTACTACTGAAAACACCGGATCTGTATGCGACCCAAGTAAGAATCTTAGGATGCTAACGAGCGTGTAGGGGTGGGTGATCGAATAAGTGTATATATATATATATATATATATATATATATATATATATATATATATATATATATATATATATATATATATATATATAGAAAAGTTCAATACAGAACCATAATTATTGGTTCTTTCAAGGAACCAAATCTTTTTTTTTAATTTCTAGAGTTTATTCTTTATCGAAAAAAATTTAAAAATATCTAAATTCATATATTAACATTGTGAATATGAAAAATATTTTTCGGATTCATGTTGTGAATTTTCAAAAATTCACATTATGAATTTAACGTAAAAAAAAAAAAAAATGAATCTTATATCGTTGGAAAAATGATAAAAAGTTATGAATTTCTATATTTTTAGTTTTTTTTTCTTTTTGATAAAAAATAAGTTATAAAAGTTGAAAAAAAGATTGGTTCCTTGGTCTCTTGGTTAATTATAGTTCTCTACTGAACGTCACCATATATATATATATATATATATATATATATATATATATATATATATATATATATATATATATATATATATATATATATATATATATATATATATATATATATATATATATATATATGCCTAGTTGTTGGGAGCCAAGCCAAAAGGTTTTTTTGTCGGGTGGATATAAAAAATCAGATAATTAAGGAAAATTTGAAATAATGGAGGAATATTTATAATATATAGTATTAGATAAACACCTTTTGGAACAACATTATATATAGTTCAACACCACATGCAACCATGGAACTACTTTTCCTCCTATAAATTCAGTTTAACAAAAAACCAAGAAGAAAGTTTGATTATAATTAGTTCTGAAAATATATGATGATCACTACAGCATCCAAAAGTACGAAAACCTCAACCACCACTACTACGAACAACACCACTGCCACAACCACAATGAAAGCAGTGAAACCCATGATGAAAAAATTTGTTGGTGTCCGACAAAGGCCATCAGGGCGGTGGGTGGCTGAGATCAAAGACTCCTCTCAGAAGGTGAGGTTATGGCTTGGTACCTACGACACCCCTGAAGAAGCTGCTCGAGCCTATGATGAAGCTGCCCGGGCCTTGAGAGGTGAAAACGCAAGAACCAACTTTGCTCCTTTGGTTAATTCAATAATATCTGATTCCTTATCAGAATCAGATTCAAGACGTGCGCTTAGCTTTTCTTCATTAAAAGCGAGGCTCAGCAAGAACTTACAAAGCATCATGGCAAGAACCACAGAGAATAAGTCGTCACCAAAAAGTAGGGTGAGTGATCATTTCACGTTTGCAAGTATATTCAATTTCAAGGCCAATTACCCACCCCAAAACGGCGTTGTTGCTGACATGGAGAAGGTTGTGCAACCCAGTGTGATTGTGCCACCACAAACGGTGGCAGATCATGATGGTGCTACCTGCACCTATAACTCATCTTGGGAAAGCTCAAGTGTGTCAGCTGACAGCAGCAATGAATGGGTGGGTTTCAGTAGTTTACAACATGGGTTGGATTCAGATGGGTCGGATACTTGTGAAGGAAGTTATTTTGGAGACCAAATGATTGGAGGGTGGATGAGTAGCCCAGATATTAGTGATGGTGGTTCCAGGAGTAAAAGGTTTAAGGTTTCTTCATCGGTTATGGTTCCTCCAAAGTTCAGTGATCAAACTACCGAGTCTGGTTTTCCATGGTGAGATAAGAAACTGATGGGAGTTTGTGAAGTTTACTAGAAGTTGAAGGGTTTAAAAGGGTTTCTCTTCAAACTATGGGGACGTCATGGAAAATTATCATGCACCCTTTTGTTTCGTTCTTTCTGTTTTAGGGGTGAGGGGTCTCCGTCAGCGATGTAAAAAAAACTAATACAAGTATGGGTTTTAATTATATGGTTCCAAACTTTACTAAGTTGACCTAAAGATGAATACCTAATTTTATCAAGACATAGTTTAATTGATATAAGGTACTCGAAATCAAATAGTATAACAATCAGTATTTTCAAACAAATTATACCACCCATAAAACAGTCCATGAATCAGAAGATATTATCCATTACATATGACAAAAAATAATTTCTTTTATATGACAGATTAAGTTACCAATCATTAAAAAAATTGCAAAACAATAGATTTTTTACCTGTTGCGAGTGAGTTACGTATTTATTTACAAGGATTCAACCCAAGGTACATTACATTGCATTTTAAAAGAGATTTACATGTTGCCAAAACTACAAATGGGACATGACTACATAAAAAAATAGATGATAAAGGATTCAAACAAAAATAAAGAAACATTGTTGTTTCTCGATTTAAGATCCCAACAAATCCTAATCAGATAGGAAAAGAAAAACTATAATCATATTTAACATATCTGTAAACCCAAAGAAATTAAGATAATGATAAAAAAAAAAAATCAGTTTAACAGATTTAACTTGTTGAATTAACAAATAAAAGCAATTCATGAGTACAGCAGATTTAACATCCTAATTTGAAGCAGCAAAGTACTTGGGTAATTCCATATTTTAGGCATCAATAGAAAGCAAGTCTACTTTACAAAACGGATGAGAAAAAGAGATGAAAATAAATCACGATAACTTAAATGGCTAAACATGAACTCAAAGCACCTCCTCTATCATGCAAGAGCAGCTCCCTATATATCCGTTACCAGTGTAAGCTTTCACATTTGATGAAGAAACAAAACCTTTAGCTTGCAAACAAGAAAGAGCCTACCAACCAAAGAACACAGGTGAAAAGACAGCAAAAGTGATAAAAATATTAGGATCATTGATTAAAACAAGTTTATCCAAAATGGAAAAAAGCAAAAGAAAATTTTGAAGTAATAAGCCGGTTATAACCATGGCAATTATCCAAAATCAAAGTTTCCAGTACAGGACACCCAGATAGTATGTTTTCAATCAAATCTTCATTAAAACTCATATACGATGATATATACAAACTCCTTAGACTTTTCCAACTAATCCCCCCAACTGGATCAAGCATGCACCCATCTACTCTCAGCTCAGTAAAACATGAGCTGCTGAAAACAATTTGATCCAACACAAAATCATATCTGGATTCCATATTCCAAAACTGCAAGTCAAGCTTTTTAACGTTACACAATATAACATAACCAATCCAATTGTTGAGTTGCGATTGAAATTGAATATCATAAGTGGTATGCACTTTGAATTTCTTGAGCTGCTTCAGTTGGCGACATTGAGTTAGTGATAAACTGAGAGTGTAAACCTGACTTGGGTGTGAACCTGACAGTAGCCGCACCTCCATCTATGTTTGACAATAAAACCTCAAATGACAACTTTTTATGTTCACATAATGAACACAATAAATGGTAGTAGTTGTAATTGAAGGCTTGTTTAGATATAAATAAGAGCTCTAACTTCAGTTGTAGAGCACCACAAAACAGAGAGTGATAAAGAATTACATAGAGTGAGTATTTGAGTGAAAGGGTTGTTTTCTTTTCTTGTAATATTGAGCTAGTAAGCTCCTCCTTTTGTTCTATTTCTTCTGAGTAAAAGTGTGTTTCAACCCCAACAAGTCGTATCAGATCCTGGTTAAGCTCTGCGGAAGCATTTTTTGTTTTTTGATCGAAATTTTTTTTGTCTCAAAAACAATTTCGGAGTTCACCGTTGGAAAGGTCTCGTTCCGAGGATTCCAAAAATATATATTTTTGAATTTGTTGACCACTGGAAGGCCTCCAAATCACTGGTCAAAACCAGTCTGCCGGAGACAACAGTCAGAGAAGACGATATTGTAGAAGTCACTGCCGCAGTGACGTCAGCAGCTGACCAAAGTTCTGAAAAGTTGCAGTTTAGCACCTGTTCTTCTGAAAAATGCAATTTAGCCCATGTTTTTCTGAAAATTTGCATTTTTGGTCCTGTTTTTCAGGAAAATTTCATTTTAGCCCTTTTTTACTTCCGTAAAAGTTCTGTTTGCCCCCTGAATTTCTGAAAAGTTCATATTGGTCCCCGTACTTAAAAAAAAATCAAAGTCATGTATGCTCAAGTATATGCCCAAGTATATGCCAAGAATGACTACATCAATCTCGTTATCTTCTCAAGCCGAAGTTGAAAGTATTCAAAGGACCAGGAAAGATGGTAGTGTTACGTTATACTTGATGGGTTTTGGTCATAAGACATCCTATGTGCTCATACAAACCCTAATGTTTGGATCTAGGTTTCTCTATTGTACATGCTTTGAATCCAAGACTATAAACCCTAATTCTAGCATATGGAAATCAATATTAACATATAATTAGGTTTAAGAACATACCTTGATTGTTATATAGCAATAACAATCCCAAATCTCCTTGATTTGACTTTGGAATGCTTAGAGTCACAAGTGTCACTCCTCTAATGGCTCACAAACACCATAAGCAAATGGAGAAGGTATAAAGAGAGAGGAGAGAGGTTAGAATTCGTATCTAGGACCTCTTGGGAAGGAATACACGAATTCATGACCCTAGGGGTGTTTATATAGGTGTAGAGATAGGGTTTCAGTCATTATCCTTATCTAGTTGCTTATCCACAAAGCAATCATAAGATAAGCCTTGAAAACCCTTATCCTTTATCCTTTGGACGATTTCAAGGATCCTTATCTCCTTGAATTCGTTCAACCCATATTTAGGATAAACATTACCATATTTTGTAACTATCACATAATTACAATTCAGCCCCTCTAGTTTAATTAATTACACTTGATCACAAAATTAATTCCTAATTAATTATTGACCAATATTAATTAAGCAAATATTATTTCTCCTTTAATATATTATTCTTATATCATATTAATAAATCATAATAACCTCTCTCTTTATTTATTTCTCCAATCAAGTTGCTTTGGTGAAGGCAACCCAAAAGGACCATGCACCATCGGGTCAAGTACATACCAAAATAGTTATGGACTTAGACACTAATCCAACAGTCTCCCACTTGGATAAGTCTAATAACTATTCTGCGTATGACTTCAGATCCTGATCTGCAATCGTAGCTTTCCAAAGCCGCTGTCAACTCTGATCATATCAGATACGCGTGTCCTTAGATAAGGGATCATATATTCCTCCATTCTAGATATCGTATGAGATATGATTTCAAATCATTCTCTTTGTACTATATCTCGATTTCTGATTTATGACGACAGACTAATTGAACAAATCAAATTAGCCCTAGCCCGGCCGAGCATTTACGTATGTCATCACTAAACCATCGAGGGGCCCAAAGATATCGCTTTTATCCTACTTTGGATAAAAGGAATGGATAAACTTTGATACAATGCTCGCTTGCACTCACCCACCGAATTACACACAACAATATGTTTTATAACACCAAGTTACTGGTGCGTTTACATATTATCAATGTGCAACCGATTTGCAAGATACAACTCACACATCTCGGTTTCAAGAATATAAGATGTTATCGTCTCACTAATCACTCGAGATAGTGATCCAAGTGAGCGTGGGTTTAATCCAATGCTCAAATCATATTCATAAGCACTCATGAACGTTGCAGCAGACATTTGCTTATGTCTAATACTCTTTTAGACAATACACACACCAATTCACGACAATCTTCATTCATATCTACTTCCAACATATGAACGACTGTGGCCCGTTTGAATAATTCGATTATTCTTAATAAACTCAATTATTCTGGAAGTCAAAACATGCAAGGTGAAACACAAGAATAATACTAATCCCATATGGCCTCAAACCTTTGAGTATAAGCAAAACACGTTTTATTTATCACCATATCGATTACTCATTATTTGTCATTTCTGGTAATCAACTTCTTACTTGAATTATTACACTTGTCCCATGCTCCTAGGATGCACACAATGTTTACCTATGGTTCTTACTTTTGTGAAATAGACAAATTGAACACATTTCCAATCATTCTCATTTCACAACTCCAAATCCATTTTCTTAAGTGTAAGAATATCAAATTCTTGTTACTTATAGAATATACTAGATTCTAACACTTTATGCAACGATCCTTTTGTAATGTCACTGCACCAAAGTCTCAAGGACTATTGCCAATGATATTACAAAGTCCTCTAACGTAGATTGTTACAAGACAATTCCTTAGATATGATGTCTCTCACTCAAAGTACATTCCTTTGAACATCCTTTTGCATAAAAGTTTCTAATCTAGAAATAGATTTTCAATATTTACTTCCTAATATGAACACGCTTCCATATTTTCCTCATGACAACTCATTCTTAATAGAATCTTTTCTATTTGTAATGATGTCGATATGGTCCATCCAATATGGAAACATTTCCATATTGTCCAATACTATACTTCCAACTACTCACAAGCGACCAATCCTCGTCGAACTTTGGATTGTCCTTTGATAGTTGTTTAATTATTTTAGTCAAAACCAATTCTAGTCCCTTTTTCCCTCTAAATGCGCTAGACATTTGGAAAATTTTAGAATGGTCAAACATTAAAGCATTTGCAATCGATCCTATACTCGAAGCGTATGGGACACAACGCATAATGTTTTATTTGCTATGTTCTCAAAATTCGAATTGTGAAGAGGAATGCCGTAATCATAATCGAAATTTTAAGAACATACTATGTACCTTTGACTAAATTTATCAACATTTAACAACCTAATCCTTTAGATTTGAAATGAAGCATAATATTCTCTCCCTTAATTATAGCAAAACAACCTTTCAACTC